AGCCGAGTAAGATTCCGAATTGAAAATGGCAATTCTTTTATGGAAGTATCCCTTAAACAAAGCTCTGTTATATTTTTCATCTCTCCTAATATTTCGTGAAACCTCTCAAGACTAGAGGAATATGAAAGATGAAGTTCTTGAAGAGAGGTCAACTTGATATGTGGAAAACTCTTAAGAGAGCTGCAACCATAAGCATTCAAGATTCTAAGTTTATTCAGGAATCCAATCGATTCATGAATTTTAATCAAATTCACACATTCTGGAAATGATATTTCTTCTAAATTCGGGACAGCAGATACATTAGGTATCTCTGTTATATAGTTACACTCCCTGAGATCCAAATATCTTAAATTCACCGTTTCCTGCGGGGGGAGAAAAAAGAACAAGAATTAAATGAATAATCATAAAAAGAATTTATTAATATACAATATCAGAGGAAAGGACCTAATAATTATACTTGCCTTCAGCGACTTGGCCAAATCGAGTGACTCTAAGAAACGACTCTTTGGTAACCTGAATATGGCAAGTTTCCTTGGATCAAAATTAGATGGCAAACACAGTGAAGGAAACCACCACCATTCCAGCACTCTTAAACACTTAGGGTGTGTTTGGTACAAGAGAAATTTTTTGGTGATCGGGAATCATGATTAATGAGAATTCAGTAGAAATTGAGTTTACTTGGAATCTTACGAAAGATGTGTTTGGTTCGCCAAAATATTACCGGAAATATTGGGTAAAAATTACTGATTCCATATTTGGTTTAGAACGAAATATGACTTGGAATATGAGGTTATTTTACAAAAATAACCCCAAACTATTTTTACTTTTATAATTGATAGATTGTGTCTAGATTTTTATGTGTATTGGGGTATTTTTGTCTCAAAATTTATTGTTGTGCTTTCCCTTGGTATTCTGATTGGTATTCCGAATTACCATATTATTTTTGGTAATCTGAATAGTGACTTTTCTTTATAAATCAAATTACCGGTAATCCTTGGATATCCGGGAATCGTAATTTATTTCTTCTACCAAACGTGGTAATTACATTTACCAAAGAAGGATTACCGGTAATCCTCTCCAAAAACTTGAACCAAACACCCCCTTAGGAAATTGTTCAGGACCTTCCGAAAAATGACCATTTCTAATTATAAGTGTTTTTAGGTTTGTCATCTTCTTGAAGGCCTTTCCATCCCATTTCACTACTACAAATTTTGGGAAATGCAGATATATGATTTTGATGTTACTAGTTCCCTTTGAACAAAAAAATACAACAGTCAACCACAAAACATATTTAGAGAAATTTACTTACTATAAAAAGGAAAAAATTGTGAATTAATATCGTCAACAAAAGATTGGAAATAAAGAATGACTTACAATGAGCATATAATAGTCAAAGAGATAAATCAAAGTTCAAGAAGAAAAAACAAATCAATCAACTCAGTGTGACTCACCGTATTGTCTTCTAAAACTTGAACTATATCTTCATGGAACCATAACCGACTTTGTTTCCAAGGTTTTTCAGGTGATTCTTGTCGGACAATTTCTTTACCCATATCCTCTATCAAGTCATGGAGTGTCACCTCACCATCCTTACTAATCTTTATAAGAGACTTTTTAATCAGCTCTCCAGTGTGATGTTTCATGCACTTATCATGATGAGCACAAAGTATATCTTCAACTTCTCTTAATTTATATCCTTTGTAGCAGCAAGCAATGTCAAGAAAAACAATCTTCTCTTCTTCCTTTAAAGCATCAAAGCTTACTTCAAGTATCTTTTGGATATCTTCATTAGGAATCCTGTCATACCCATCTTAAGCAGATTTCCATTCTTCTATATTTTTTCCAAACAAGTAGGAACCTATTACTTCCAAAGCCAGTGGAAGGCCAGAAGCATAAGTTACTGCACGGTTTATAATGTCCTCAAAACTTGCATGAACTACATTGTTTTTAAAAGCATTCCGCCTGAACAATTCAAGAGCTTTTGTCGTATTTAACCCATCTGCCTCATATATTTTTTCAACCTTGTGATGTGCTAGCAGATGTTTCTACCGAGTGGTAATGATGACTCTGCTGCCAGGACCAAACCAGTCAGGTCCTCCAACTATATCGTGCAACTGCTTCAGTGCGTCAACATCATAAAGAATCAAAAGAATCTTCTTTCGTTGTAGCCTTTGCTTTATTATTGAAATTCCTTCATTCACATATGTAAATGTAATATCCTTCTCTCCAACTAGTTTAGAAAGCAGAATCTCTTGGAGATATTTTATGCCATGTTTATTTGAATTTTCCCTCACATTTTCAAGAAAACACAAGCTGGGATAATGGTCAGCAATCAAATTATAAACTGCTCGAGCAAGTGTTGTTTTATCAATGCCCCCAATACCATGGATCCCTACCATGTTGACTCCATCAGAGCTGACATCCAGAAGCTCCATTACTTGTAACACTCGAGACTCTAGTCCAACAGGGTAATCGGCAACATGTAAAGGAGCACGATTAATCTTGACGGAGACCTCTTTAATGATTCTATCAATAAACACATATTCATATCCATCCCTGTCCAATCATAGAAATACGTGTAAAATCATACATCCTATTTAAGTCTTCAAAATGATTGATATACAATGAATTAACTTGTTCAAGGTTAAAAGTAAGAAGCATTTTTCTTTTTTCAACATTGAATCATTAGAGTTTGAAAAAAAAAATGAAAGAAATAAAATAGAAGGTACCCAAGTTTGAAATGATAGCCGGACAAGTCAGCTGCTTGACACAGAGCCATCCTCCATTTTTGGAGCTTGTCAATGTCATCCTTGAACCTCTCCTCATGAAGAGCCAATGCTTCTTGACCTTTCTGATGCCTCACACCAGAAGGATCGACATCATAAAAAACAGGCCAAACAAACCAACCCTTATCTTTGATGTAGGCAATGATGTTGACAAGTTCATCTAAGCAAAAAGAGGAAGATGTATAGTTCTTAGAGAACACAATGATGGCAGTCCTGGAGTTTTCAATAGCGGTGAGAAGTGATGGTGCGATTGAGTCTCCTCTTTGAAGTTCTTTGTCATCAATGAAGGTGCGGATTCCCCTCTGAAGGAGTTGATGGTAGAGATTACCAGTAAAGCCAAAGCGTGTATCTTCTCCACGAAAACTAAGAAAGACATCATAAGTGAAGGAAGAAGAAGATGATATTTGTGCCATGATAATCAGAAGGGTGTTTGACCAATATTTGTTTCCTTTGTAGCTACGAGAAGCAACACAGAAATGACCAACTTCATCTATTGTTAATGTGGGGTGGTAGGCGTGGCTCTTGTTTTTAAAACATTCAAATGAATTAGCTCAACATCTGGAATCCTTATGGTTGCTGTGTAGATTGGATCCCAAATCAAACAACTTGCATAGCACAGAGTTGACTTATCCGCTGCTCCAACTTTCCTATTCATTTTCTGATGGAAACGCGCTTTCTCGTACTTTTTATATTACATTAAGCGGTATAGAAGTTTCATGAATTTAGGAAGACATTTCTAAATTTTAAATTGGAATGCGATGTGTATTGTCTTCTTGTTTGAGTTTCTGTAGACTATTAAGTTGTGGAATTCTGTTTGTGATGTTTATCAAGTAGGATAATTAGTTGTGAAGTCTATTATAAGGCAAAAATGTAATGTGTTTACTGAATTGAATTTTATCATATGTAAGGAGTCAGTAGGAAGTGATTGAAATTCTAATTTGTAACATGTAAACTGGCCAGATAAAATAATTGTCATTGAAGGTCCTAGTTAATTAACCCTTTGTTTGCGCAAATAATAGGCAGGCATGTCTAGTTGCTTAAATTGTCTAATTCGGGAGTGTAAAACCTTGTTTGTGTTATCATTTGTGAAGTAACCTTGTAAACTGAATTGTTAACTTTCAACCTGTCTTGCATAAAACTATAGAGCCATATTTCAGTTGATAACGTGTATTGTCAGTATGGTAAGTATAACAGGTACATAAGAAAGAGGATGGCATATTATTGATATTGATAACCCTAAAGAAATGAAGAACATAAGTAATAACGTTAATGGATAGCTGCAGTTTCTGATATACTAAGATTATATGCTAGTTTTACTCCATCTTTGTTGCATTATGGTCTTTGATGTTGTTAAAAAGAAACCAGATTTTGTTTCGTTATGATTAAGCTTAGGAAAAAAATTTATTCCCTTTCATGCCAGTGAAATTTTGTTATATACATATATCATCTTATGAACATGTGAAGTCCACTTTGTTTCTAATATTCTGAGTTAATTGAAGACTTTGATAGAGGTCTAGCTGAATGCGATAGAGTGTCTTGCACCAATATAATTGTGTTGGCATCCGACTTAAGTAGTGTTCGGAATTGTAGGACGAAGTTTAGGGACAAACTTCAAATTTTGGTGGGGAGAGTGTAACATCCCGCATGATTAGAAAATTACATAACTTACAATTAGGGATGTGAAGCATGCTTGAAATTCGAATTCAATTTATGTTTAGAGTAGAATTAATTTAAATTAGGAAAATTATTCTTATGGCAATTATAAGTGGGTATATTTATATATATATTTTAAAAATTCAAAATACTAGTCAAGAAGGGATAGTATTAAGTTTAATTACAATATAGGTAGAAAACCTAGTTACTACCTAGTGAGGACATAGAATAATAATTATTAGGAAAATATTTAAAGTACAATTAGGGAGGTGGACTCATGTCATGAAATTGAACTACATGTAAGTGTAGGATAGGAATATTTTTAGATACTCTTTATGAAAACTCTAGTTACACTTAGTAGCTTCATGAAACTGCATGGCTTAGGTGAATTATTGGGTTCAATTCCCTCAGGGGCCACGACCCAAACTTACTAAAATAGGGGTTAAGTCAGCCCTATATTCTTAGACTCATGGTCCCTAGCTTATCCCCAAAACAAAACTTGAATACCTGCACTTGATTGGCCAAAGAATAAGACACATGTCCAACCTTATCTCTTCACCATCATGCGCTAACTAGGAGTAGGCAGGTCTGAGTTTGTGGATCTTGATATTCAGAACTCTATTACATTACCTTTTCCCCCACAAGATCGCAACCTCTAGAGAGAAGAATCCTCCACCTAGCTCACGACTTCTTCCATCTTCCTCATACACTCGGCTGAACATAAGGCAACAAAGTCTGCATGTTCCTTCCGTTCCCTCTTTTTCCCACAAGTCACATGTTCTTGGAAAGGAAACATGAGAACCTAAGCACACACATCTTCCATTCCCTTCCCTGCATGGTTCGGCTGAGTGGCAGCAGCCAAGGAGAGCGCAATATGAGTTCATCCTTCCTACTTTTCTTGTTCGGTCGTGTGCTTCCATGCAAAGAGGTGTAGAAATTTCCTACTCCCTTGATCATCTTTTCCCTTTTCGATTTGATGAGGAGAGTCAATGGCATGCATATTACTTCTTTTGGTTCTTAATGGAACTCCTCTGCATGCAGCTGCAAACATGACTTCTGTCAAGGAAGACCATCATCTTTAAAATTCGGACCTACCTTCCATTGCATGCAAGAACAAGTGAGTAATTCACACCTTACTTGCTTTCTGATTTCGGCACATGAGAGGATGAGTGGGTTGTTCTTTATGTGCTTTCTGTTTTAATTTGTTGGATAGTGGGAAGGTGAGGGTGCTGCCCCTCTTGTGGTTGATGCGCATGACTGATTTGGGGAGCAGACTGGGAACATAAGAAAGGTATGAATTTGAAACAACGCTCTCTCATTTTTCCCCTCTGATTCGGCCTTTAGTGTATTCAAGGAGAAGACGTTTTGTCATCCCTCCCCTTTTGCTTTCTGCCGTTGGAAACTCCAGGGACTTGGTGCTTGTAAGCACAAGGAGAATCCGATTGGGAGCTTGGAAATAGCTCCCATTAATCTTGTTGGACTGCCCCTCGGATTAGGAATATTTAGTAGGACTTGCATGTGCTAAAAAGTAGATAGACAGCATGCTGTACATTAATTATTCATGACTAAGTGATATTGGTAGTGTTGTCAAAGAAAATTTATAAACACCTAGTCGATGAACCAAGCTTTGCATGTATTAGAACTATTTGGACAGTTTTTATCGCTCTCCTAAATCATGTAGAAATGTTATGTAAAGGAAAAACCAAGGGCACCTATTTAATGGACAAGAAACCGAAACCACAGGCATAGAGAATCAAGGTTATGTCACTTACTATCTATTGGTAAAATAAACTCTATGATTGGAAAAATTAAATTAGCACAAGAACCTTGAATTCCGATTTGAGTCAAGCTTTGCATGTGTTTATGGTCTTGTTGGCAGCATGCTGTATGCAATCCTTGCGCACTTTAAACCTTGTAAGTGTGGCTATGTAAATGATAATTTGTAGCACCTAATTAATAGTCAAGACAACCGAATTAAATGCATAGGGAGTTATAGTTATGTCATTTGTTAACCTTTGGCAAAATTAAAGTTAAGTCAGAATAAGATTAGAACAATCTAGTTGGTGATTAAATCAAAAATTGAAGTACCGTAAATCGGTTAGAAGCCTAGAATTGGAAGCATGGAGAGTACATGTATTTATTGGAACAATAGATGAAAATTCTGATTTTTGGTACCTATTGTTTAGGTGTGCTAACCTCTAAAAGAATGGGCTGATTGGTGATGTTTTGATTTAAAAAGGGTTAAAGACTCGAGGTAAGTGTTCGGTGGATTACCCCTTTGTGACTGTTAGTTTAATATTTGAATTTTTGATTTGTTGCTCTTGTGTCCTATTCTGATTCTGTTTGAAGATAATGACAACTAGATTTGGATTATGAATTATTGGAAATTATTTTTGGAAATATTCGTACTCTGAATTGAAATATGACTTGGTGAAACTCCGATTTTTGTGGGGATATATTCTGTTTAGAAGTTTGGTGTCATAGACATGTGAGCTATGATCTCTGATTATGAATTCTGATTATAAGCATGAACATCATAACTTTGCATTTGGTCATGCGTGTGTGAAGCAAAGCATAGCATCTCATGCATCCACATACATGCAGTCTTGACAACCGAAATAAGTGATAAAAATATAAGCATTTGGTTGAGCACGCATCGCATATAGGCATCCCTCCGGTACCAGGGTATGGGACACCTGGCTTCAGTCCGCATAGGTCACAGTTGGAATTCCCCTTTGATAGAGCCAAAATAGGATCTCCACTGTGTTAGTTAGTAGTACGTGCACTGCAGTGCTATGAGCATACATTATTCTGACGTTATATACGCACTCTGATTAGTATTCTGGTGCTATGTACGCACTATGATTAGTATTCTGGGCGTTATATACGCAATTTGATTATATTTTGGGATCTGTTCTGGAACTATTTGATGATGTGACAATTTTGGAAATTCGGTATTTAAATTAACATTATTGCATTGCTGGATTTTCTGCCACACTATTGGAATTTTTCTCACCCCTTCTGGGGCTCAATTTTTATAAATTGCAGGAGGACTTAGAAGCATATGATGAAATGTTTGTTTAGACGCATTCTGTTTGTCTGCTGCTGTCTTGAGAATTCTGCTATTGTACACTATTGTTGTTGACTGCTGGCTATATATTCCTAGTCAATGTGATATTTTGAGAAACTGGAAAACGTTGGAAAATAATCTTATTTTGCTGCACTTTGGAATTTTTACATTTTGTATTAACTGATGTAATCCTGGTACTTAATTTGCGAAAATAATTGCTGTCGTAATTGGATTTGGACTTTTGAACTGTTTTGCGAGCACTTTGCGAGTTGTCGTTCTGGGGCTACAGACCTCCGAATGAGGCACAATTTATATGGATGTAAAGCCCCAGTCGTGTATTTTCAGATTATATAAAGAGTATGTTCAAAGCTTGTAAGCACGATTTATTATGATTTTTACAAGTCAGGAGGTTTTTGAAAAAATGCACTGAATTATCGAGTACTTTGCGAGTTCTGTTTCTGGGGTCACAGATCTCCGATGGACATATAATTTATATGATCGTAAAGCCCCAGATGTCTAGTTTCTTCGTAGCAAAGAAAATTTTTGTAAGCTTTTGATTTTTAACTTACATGATTTTTGCAAGGCAGGCTGTTTACAGGAAAAATCAGAGTTGCGCAGCGAAAGCCTTTTTTAAAAATTCACTTGTTGTTTCTATTTTACGAAGTCAGTTTTTCAGGCAAGATTATAATTGGTAACCCCAAAATGTTTTTACGGAATAAGAATTTTATACGATAACGTTGCGACTCTAATCGGTTTTAGCAGACACTTGCCTTGGATGCATACCGGGGAGGGTGTCATATAGTGTAATCTGCACCACCAAGCAGACACGGTAGGGTGGCACGATCCTACTACCAATCACCCTTGATCAATTGGTACTTGACTCTTGCTAGCATGAAACAAGTCATATCGTTAAGTTGTAAACAAGCCAAAATTTTAGGCATACTTGTGCAAGAATTCCATTCTCATTTAATTTTACTTTCTTCAGAAGCATTGGCTCTTTACCATGGTCTTCATGGATACTTGTAACATGGGGTTCTTGTTGTGTTTCTCTTAAAGGACCCAGAAACTTTATGCTTGAATTGGCATCGGCAGGATAATAAAATGACAGAGCAATTAAAATTAGTAATAAAGATAGAATTTCCATAACAACATTACCATGTCTGGCCATCAATTTTATATGGACTCAATTCCAATATCGAAGCATTTGTTGTTTACTACACCTGTTTCTTTCTCGTTATTCACCATTTCACGGCTTCCTGGGAATTGATGACAGATGGAATCTGAATGTTGTTCCTCTTTCATGCGCTGATTGTCAAAGTCATTGTTTAGGTCTCGAGCTGTCAAAACCTAATTGAAATAATTAATATTTTTTAAGAAAAAATAAATAATATTAATAATGCACTACACGAGCACTCATTTTTTGGTTTCTTGCATTTGCCTAGTGGAGCAAAATATACAAGGCTAATAAATTAGAAAGAAATGCCACAAGCATATTTAGTATTTACCTTGTACCATGGAATGGATACCATTAAATTTGAATCCCAATTCAAATCATCGTTCAATGGTTAAGGGGGAAGGATTGTGGACTCCGTCTCGGTCAGCAACTTAAACGCTGAAATTATATTAAGAGCAAGTCCAAGTTCAATGTCACTGCTCCAACGTTTGTGCCTCATGTCCAAGTCCACTCTATCCTTTACATATAGGGTCGTTAAATCGGATATCCTCCATGCTACATTTTTTATTGAATACATGCAGTCCAATTTGTTGATTCCTTACCAGCTTTCCAATGGAGGAAGGTACAAAATCAATAGAAAATACCACATTATTCCATTCATTTTCAAAAACCACTGCATCCATACCATCCCACTTTGTGTATTTTGGATCAAAAATTAATATATGATCATTTTCGCATGAGAAATTAAAAGGAAATGATTTGTTTCCATTGATGAAAAATTCGAGGGGAAGCTTTCTTGAGGAAAAGGATGGACATTGTCCTGTAAAATGACAAAGAGATATGACAGGGATTTTGTTGCGAAACCAGAAAGAAATTGATTGTCCGTTCTTTTGGTTCTCGAACCACTCTGGAATGCTTGTTCTTGGCAAAAAAATCAACTTGAAATAAAATGGTATTTGAAATATTATTAAATCGTATTTGAATCTGTACATAGGGGTCTCTATTTATAGAGACTTCTTGACCTAATTTTGACCTAATGGGCTTGGCCCAATATACAAGTAACGGACTAAATAAATACAAATAAATGACTACATAATTACTAATAAATGACTACATAATTACTATTTACAACACTCCCCCTCAAGCTGAGGAATAAATATTTATCATTCCCAGCTTGCTAGCAAGTTCTTCAAATCTATCTGAAGGAAGCCCCTTTGTCAATAGATCAGCTAATTGACGCCCAGTGGGGATGTATGGAGTGGTAATCAACCCGCTATCAAGTTTCTCTTTAATGAAATGGCGGTCGACCTCAATATGTTTAGTCCGATCATGTTGAACTGGATTATGAGCTATACAAATAGCGGACTTATTATCACATAGCAGCTTCATAGGTCCCTCACATTTTATTTTTAGATCATCAAGTACAATTTTCAGCCACAGTAACTCACAAATGCCTTGAGCCATAGCTCGAAATTCAGCTTCTGCACTTGATCTGGCGATCACATCTTGTTTCTTACTTCTCCATGTCACCAAGTTACCACAAAGAAACATGCAATAACCAGTGGTAGAACGACGGTCAGTCACGGATCCAGCATAATCAGCATCTGTGTAGACTTCTAAAGATAGATTGCCATCACGTCGGAATAACAACCCTTTACCAGGAGTACCTTTCAGATACTGAAGAATTCTCTCTACTGCCTGCATATGTTTCTCCTTTGGATCGTGCATAAACTGACTGACAACACTAACAGCATAAGCTAAGTCTGGTCTAGTATGGGCCAAATATATCAATTTCCCAACTAGCCGTTGATATTGTCCTTTATCAACTGGAGGACTCTCCTCTTCATAGCCCATCTTGTGGTTCTGCTCAATAGGAGTATTAGAGGGTTTACACCCGAGCTTTCCTGCTTCTTTGAGAAGATCAAGAACATATTTCCTCTGGCTGATAAAGATTCCTTTGCTCGAATGAGCTACTTCTATCCCTAGGAAATATCTCAGTTTCCCAAGGTCTTTGACTTCAAACTCAGAGGCAAGCCGTGTTTGCAGAATCTGTCTCTCCACAAAATCATCACCTGTGATAATAATATCATCAACATATACAAGGAGCACAGTAAGCTTCCCATTTTGGGAGTGCTTGAAAAAAAGAGTGTGATCTCCTTGACTTTGTTTATATCCTAAGGTCATCATAACCTTAGTAAACTTTCCAAACCAGGCACGAGGTGACTGCTTCAATCCATACAAGGCCTTTTTTAATTTACAAACTTTATTTTCTCCCTTCACAGAATCAAAACCAGGCAGAATTTCCATGTAGACTTCTTCTTCTAACTCACCATTGAGGAAAGCATTCTTCACATCAAATTGGTTTATATCCCAATTGTAATGGGAAGCAAGGGATAACAAAACTCTCATCGTATTCATCTTTGCAACTGGAGCAAATGTTTCTTCATAATCAATGCCATAGGTTTGAGAGTAACCTTTGGCAACTAATCGAGCTTTGTATCTCTCAAGAGTTCTATCAGAATTATATTTCAGGGCATAAACCCATCTGCACCCTACTGCTTTCTTTCCAGTAGGTCTATCAATAACCTCCCATGTTTTATTTTTCTCCAATGCATTCATCTCCTCTTGTATGGCTTGAGCCCAATTCCTATCTTTCAAGGCTTCATGTAATGATTTTGGGATTGCAATAGAGTCTAGTGCTGAAACAAAGCTTTTGTGCTGCACAGAAAGATTAGCAGAGGAAACAAACTGGGAGATAGGGTATTGAGTACAAGAGGGACAGGAGGGACAAGATTTCTTGGGACAAATTCTTTTTCCTTTTCTAAGAGCAATGGGTAAATCATCAGAATCAGTAGTAATGGGTAAGTCATCATGATCAGAAATATGAGATTCAGGACTTACCAGTGGTTCAGACGATTGAGGTTGCTGCTGAGACAATGTGGGCTGTTTCCTTCTTTCAGGTGTCATAATCTTTCGTATCTCTGGTGTACTTGATGTATCAATCACAGGAGAATCAGTCACAGGAGGATTACTCACAAGAGGATCAGACACAGGAGGAACAGCCAAAGGAGAAACAGACACAGGAGGAACAGGACCAGGTGGAGGATACACTGACATAGGTAAAGGAGTAGACACTGATGATTCAAACTCAAAGAAGGGAGGTGATGAGATTTCTGGTGAAGGATTCTCCCCCTGAAGATGAGGACCTTGGAAAAAGGACTCAGATTCTTGAAATGTAACATCCATAGAAACAAAAATTTTTCTACTACTAGGGTGATAGCACTTGTAGCCCTTCTTATCAGGAACATAACCAAGAAAAACACATTTAATAGCCCTAGGGTCCAACTTACTGCGATGATGTTTATGAACATGAACAAAAGCAACACACCCAAACACTCGTGGAGGAAGACTCATCATAGTTGGAATAGAAGGGAAAAAAGAAGTCATAGAGTGAATAGGACTTACATGGTCAAGTACCCGAGTGGGTAAACGGTTGATCAAGAATGCTGCAGTAAGAATAGAATCTCCCCAATAGTATTTGGGTACATGTGTCTGAAACATTAATGCACGAGCCACTTCAAGAAGGTGACGATTTTTTCTTTCAGCAACCCCATTCTGTTGGGGGGTGTCAACACAAGTAAGTTCATGAATCATACCGTTATTTCTTATAAATTGGGAAAAGCTATGATTAACATATTCAGTACCATTATCTGTTCTAAGTCTCTTGAGTTTTTTACCAAACTGGGTCTCAATCATTTTATAAAATTGAAAGAACAGTTGTGGTACCTCAGACTTTTCACGCATTAAGTACACCCAAGTTACACGAGTGCAATCATCAATAAAAGAAACAAACCATCTATTTCCAGAACCATGAGGGACTTTAGAGGGACCCCAAACATCAGAATGAATAAGATCAAAAGGTTCAACACTCTTAGTAATACTAGAAGGAAAAGACACACGATGATGCTTAGCAAATTCACAAACATCACAATGAAAAGATTCAACAGATTTAGACAAAAACAATGACGGAAATAAAGATTTGAGTAAACTAAATGGAGGATGACCTAAGCGCTTATGATGAAGCCAAATCAAAGAATCAGCAGTTGATTG